GTAGCTCATGATTGTGCTCATCAGGTTCTCAACTCAAGGGTAGAATATGTCTTCAGTTGTACTCATTCTTCTAAAGGCAATGGCTCTTGCTCTCTTTTACTTTCTCTTCAAAATCTTCAGGTGGAAGGGTATGTAATTCACGTTGTACTTTGCTTCTGAGATGAATGGAAATTTGGTGCTTGTTGGCGCCTACTTGTGTTAAAAAAACATGTAAATAAGGTTATATTTTATAACCCTAATTTTTCAGTGTATGCTATGTGAATAATATTTTATTTCTTACATCTTTCTATCTGTTGAATTCAGGAGGAAGGTGCCTATGCGGTACCATGCAATGCGGGTGCTGTTAATAATATTTCTAGAGTTCCTTGCCTTGAAGATGGTGATCTTGATGATGGACTTGATCCTGCAATGTAGGAAGAGCTTGATAGGTAAGGAAACTATCTCTCTCTTTTGTACATCTATTCATGCCCTTAGCTTAGTTTCTGATTTTGTACTATGTTGACACATTCTTTTCCTGATGGGTTGAATGTTAGGGAACGTTGCATGGGAAACAAAAAATTTCCTATGCTCACCAAGATCAATCTAGGAGATGAAAATATACGAGAGGAGAGATTGCATCTACATACCCTTGTAGATCGCTAAGCGGAAGCATTAAGAAACGCGGTTGATGTACTCGAACGTCTTCGTGAACCAATCACGATCCGTCCTACGAACTCCCGATCCAACTGCCGAACGGACGTCACCTCTGTGTTCAACACACATACGGCTTGATGACGCCTTCACCTCCTTGATCCAGCTAGTGATGATGAGGTAGTAGCTTGAGTCCTCCGGCATCACGACGGCATGGTGGCGGTGGCGGTGGCGGTGGCGGAATCTCAGCACAGCTTCACTAAGCACTACGGAGAGGAAGAGGGATGCGAGGGAGAGGAGAGGCAACGCCGTGGCATGGAGATGTTCTCAATGGCGCGGCTTCCCTCTCTCTACCTCTAGGGCGGCGGTAGCCAGGGCAGATGGGATCTCCCCTAGGGCGACTTGCCCCCCAAGGCGGGTGGACGGAACCCTAGAGGGGCGCCCCCAACCCTCCTGGTTATGTGAGATGGGGTGAGGGGGCGCACATCCCCTTAATTAGTGGGCTGGTTTGCCCATCCCCTTGGCCCATGCCCCCCAACACTTGTCGGGGCCCCCCGAAACCCCTTTCGGTGACGCTGGTCATCACCCGGTACCCCCGAAACAATTTTGGACTCCAATATCCTTTGTCCAATATATCAATTGTCACCTCCGGACCATTCCGGAGTTCCTCCTCACATCTGGGATCTCATCCAGGACTCCGAACAACCTTCGGTAACCACCATAAGACTCAGCTATACTTATATTGTCACCAAACGTTAAGTGTGTAGACCCTGCGGTTCGAGAACTATGCAGACATGACCGAGACACCTTTACGGTCAACAACCAATAGCGGGACCGGGATGCCCATATTGGTTCCCACATATTCTACAAATATCTTATCGGTCGAACCTTGATGTCAAGGATTCAGCTAATCCCGTATGTAGTTCCCTTTGTCTATCGGTATGTTACTTGCCCGAGATTCAATCATCAGTATCTCCATACCTAGTTCAATCTCGTTACCGGCAAGTCTCTTTACTCGTTCCCTAATACAAGATCCCGTGGCTAACTCATTAGTCACATTGCTTGCAAGCTTCTTGTGATGTTGTATTACCGAGAGGGCCCAGAGATACCTCTCCGTTATACGGAGTGACAAATCTCAGTCTTGATCTATGCCAACTCAACAGACACCCTCGAAGATACCTGTAGAGCACCTTTATAGTCACCCAGTTACGTTGCGATGTTTGGTACACACAAGGCACTCCTCCGGTGTCAGTGAGTTGAATGATCTCATGGTCATAGGAACATATATTTGACATGCAGAAAACGATAGCAATAAACTCGACATGATCATATGATACGTTCATAGTTTGGGTCTTGTCCATTGCACTATTCTCCTAATGATGTGATCCCGTTATCAAATGACAACCCATGTCTATGACTAGGAAACCATAACAATCTTTGATCAACGAGCTAGTCCGGTAGAGGCTTACTAGGGACGTGTTGTTGTCTATGTACCTACACATGTAGTTGAGTTTCCAATCAATACAATTATAGCATAGATAATAAACGATTATCATGAACAGAGAAATATGATAATAACTAATTTATTATTGCCTCTAGGGCATATTTCCAACATTGAAGTGTTATGCGGCGCTTATTGTGCATCTACTATTGTGTTGCTCAGTTACAAATAGATGTTAATTTCCTGAAATAATGAAGCCCTTAATGTGTTTGTGCTTTGTGCTCACAAGCTGTTCAATAGAAGTCGTCGTGTTTAGAATTCAGAACTGAGGATAGATCAAATAGTTCAGCTGTAATATGGAGCAAGCTAAATGTTTGCTAGTACTTGGGCTCACTGCTGTTTATATTTGATTATTCTATTGTTATGTGTATTGAAAATGCTATAACAAATTTACTGCCCATATTCCTGTACCAAAGCCCTCATGCGAATTAATGACATGCTTCATTTCTGAACAAAGGAAGTTGAAGATTTCGCTAGGAGGCTGAATTCTGTTTGGCCTGAAAGAATGCATTTGGGTCAAGTAAGAAGAATTGAGTCTCAGCTGATTGGTGGTAATGGTTCTGTGCAGAGATTTTCTGGTATTTTTTTCCATATAGAATAGTTGAAACGGTAGTGAGTATAGAATTTAGCCCACTCTACTGAATGTAGTTTTGGAAGAACAGAAGGTTTTACATACTGCTCCCCGCGTCCCATAAGTATATCGGTTGTAATAACATCTTATATTATGGGACAGGGGGAGTAAAGGATAGTGTTTGGTTAGTCCAATGTAAAGTAGGAATTACCTCATTCTTGCACCAGCTCATTCCATAACCGGGTTAGTATGGAGGATTGGAGACGGGGCTTTTATAAATATTCACCATGATTCATGGATACCAAGAAATGGAAGTTGAAAGCCTTGAGGCCAGATTTACATCCCAAGCATTACCAAGGTGGCCGATCTCCTGACTGCCGACGGGTCCAGGTGGGACTATGCTGAGTTGATGCAATGTTTACTCCTGGAGATGCTTCAGATATTAAACAAATCGCTGTTGGGGGACCGGCTACAGAGGACTAACTGGCCTGGAATCTCACTAAAATGGGATGTTCACTGCAAAATCCGCTTATCATCTCAGGATGTCCTTGAAGAGAGCTAGGACCGGACAGCCGGAGTCCTGAAGCTCGGTTAACAAACACAAGGATACATGGCTTTGTGGGAAACAAGTGCTCTTGCGAAAACCAAGATTCACATGTGGCGCATCATTCGGAATTCCCTAGTTGTTCAGTCGGAGCTCTCTCATCGTCGGATCAAGCCGGGTGTTTTTTGTGTTGCGTGCGGCCGGGAGGAAACGATGGTGCATCGTTTGGGCCTGCCAACATTCGATCCAGTTCTGGAGGTTGTTGTGTTCGGAATTGGGAGTTGCGGTGGAGACCCCGCCGTGTCAGGTTGACTCTCAGAACGCCATAGCTTCTTGGCTGTTGGGCTGGTTTGCCGGTGCGACCGTAGAGGAGCAGGAGATCATGATCCAGGCAGCTTATGGATTGTGGCTAGCAAGAAACGAGGCAACGGATGGGAAGAGAATAGCGGCGCCACATGAAATAGTAACCTCGGTCAAGATGCACCTGGCTGAATGGAGATTGGTGCATCAGGCGAGGGCACCATAGCAGAAAAAAAAGGATAGTCCAGAGATGGGAACCACCAAACGAAGGATGGGTCAAGATAAACGCTGATGGAGCAGTTTCAAAGTACGGGGAGCAAGGTGGTGGTGGGGCTGTTTTGAGGGATCACAGTGGTGCATTCATGGCCGGAGGTTGCCAGTTCTTTCCACACGTCATTGATCTGGAAGCAGTGGAGGTCCTGGCATGCAGGTGGGCTATTCAGTTGGCCATCGAGCTACAGGTTCAGCGAGCACATGTGGAGCTGGATAGTAAGATGGTCGTGCAAATGATCAACGAACCAAATAGGAATATGTCCGCTGTTGGACCCTGTTTACAAGAGATCAAGGAGATGCTCAATTCGTTGACGGAGTTCATGGTTTCCTGGGTTCGTCGTTGTGGGAATGTTGGCGCGCATAAATTAGCTAGAGTAAGCGTATAGGGGAGGAACGCCGTGATGCTTGGGTGGACTCGTCACCAGACTTTATTTTAGATGTAATTTTGGATCAGATCCCAAACTTTGTTTAAGTAAAGCGGTAAAGTTTCCCCTAAAAAAAAGAGCATAACCCAGTCACACTTTTATAGTAGCACGATAATATTATTGTGCAGAGTGAGTATTTATCTGTAAACCAGATGTTGTACCGATTGATGTCCCCCCACGCCCCCCTCACACACACAAAAAAAGAAAAAGAAAAATGCACAATCAAGTTACTACATATTTCACGATCCTAAGCAAATATTGTTTTTTTAGAAGCAGAGTACAAACGCATATGCTTACCCACACAGGGACACACTAGCCCATATCAACACACTCCCTAACCCTAGCACCGACACAGTTACATACTCCCTCCGGTCCTTTTTACTCTGCACATTGGATTTGCCGAAAGTCAAACTTTGATAAGTTTGACCAAATTTATATTAGAAATTATTAACATCTATAATATCTAATAAATATAATATGAAAATATATTCCTAGATGAATCTAATGATATTGGTGTTGTTATGTGAATGTCTATAATTTTTTATATAAACTTGGTCAAAGTTGGATGAGATTGACTTCGGACAAACCTAATATGCAGAGTAAAAAGGACCGGAGGGAGTACATAAACAACCGGTCAAGAGTGGCGTGGACAACTTTTTCTATTATTCATACATGACATCTCTCTAAAAAACTACCAAAACCCAGGGAAAACCGATTGAACATACTTTTGCGGACCTACGTCGACGGAAGGACGCGCTACCCTTGAGGTGTATAGGTGGTGCCGATGGTGTAGTTGTCGGGGATGACGTTGTCGTAGACGTTCTTCAAGCCTTTCTTAGTGAAGTAGCGGAAGTTGAAGGGGCCCACGAGCGGATCGGCGCTCTCGAAGGTCCACAGGCCGCCCTCGCCCTTGGTCATGGCCACCCAGTCGTCGGCGTCGTGCTGCATGATCTCCAGCTCCGACATGGTGTCGCCTGGCATGTCGTAACTCACCAGCACCGTCAGCTGCTTCTTGCCTGACCCCGTGTCCGACCCCTTCTCCACCGTGAATGTCACCGGGGCCGCGCACCAAGCGCCGGCGACCAGCATCGCCAGCAAAGCCACCGCCAGCAACCTTCTCGAGGATGCCATCTTGAAGCCTAGATAGATTATCGGTAGAAGCTGAACTACGCACGTGTAGCTGTGAGCCGTGTGTGTATGATGATCTATGTTTGTGGGATTTATATATGGGCGCTCGCGGTGGCCATGCTTGTCCGTTGGCGCGTATGTGGCTCGCCTTGGTCACAGGAGGTGGTCGTGCTCATGTGTGGCCTGGCCGCTTGTTTTGGCATGCATGATTGGATATCATGGGCATCGTGCCATGCGCGTACAGGCGTACGTACACACACCTACATGATACTACGCGCTGCAATTTTGGACCAGCTAAAACAATTCCAGTCTTCGTCACCTAGAGAAGAAGCGCATGTGAGCCCGTTCGTCGTCACATACATGAACCAATGTTTTCTTTGAAACTCCAACACCGCATATGATCGAAAAAATTGGCAGTGCGAGGGCCATTGTGCTCCAACAAGAACCTCAGCAGCTTTACCTTTTCAGCGTGTCGCATCAAGTTGTTGGTGTAGAGGTAAACATGATATGGCCTATGAAACATATGCTCGCATCCACCATCAAATTCTGTCATGTTAGAAACGGCAATTTCTAAGCTTCCCAAGGCATCATCTGACTTTAGGCGCATGGCCTTGTCATCCTTCTTGGTTTTTGTTCGAGAACGCTTGAAAGGAATGGCCAAATAAAAGCTATTGCTAGATGGGTCCACACACTAGTAGAAAAGGGGCCATTTGTCCCGGTTGTTGAACGGGGACTAAAGGGTCGTTACTAATGCCCTGGCCCTTTAGTCCCGATTCTTACACGAACCGGGACAGATCACCAACCGGGACCAAAAGGCATCCATGCGTCAGCATTTCAGGGGC